TTTTATTATAAAAAAAATTGTAATCATATGAATTATTTAAATTGGATAGTGAAAGGCTCCCTGAAATTCTACCCTACCTCTGAGGCATTTGTGTATATACTTCCAACTCAATGTTGGCTTACTTGGAGATCATTTGAATAATTTTTAGTTGGCTTATCCTGCTAGATTTTTGTTTGAGACAGGGTCTTGGTATGGAGTTTTCAGGCTGGCCTTGATCTCACTATGTAGCCCAAGCTGGCCTTGAACGCAAGTCAATCCTCCTGCCTCAGCCTCCAGAGTGCTGGGATTACAGGTGTGAGCTACCTACCACAGCTGGCTTAAATTTTAAATATGTGTGTAGCTCTTTATTCCACACTGACCTAATTAATTGGTAACACTTTAAAATTCTCTAATGCAATGTGTTGCTTTCATCTGTAGACTGTGGCAGGGTATACCATTCCTCCAGGACATCAAGTGTGTGTTTCTCCCACTGTCAATCAGAGACTTAAAGACTCCTGGGTAGAACGTCTGGACTTTAATCCTGATCGTTACTTACATGATAACCCAGCGTCAGGAGAGAAGTTTGCCTATGTGCCATTTGGAGCTGGTAAGATGATTACATTTTCGGTTTGAAATGTTTGTTCTGGTAACATTTGTCCCTGTCAAAATAATCCATATGAATTTTGTTTGCAAATATCTTTCACTTTGGCTCTGATTACTGCCTCCATCATCACCAGGCTCTCCTTTTGTGCTTTGTGCGCTGTGAGAGCACCATCAGTCATTAGATCTAAGGCCTACTCTGTCAGGGTGATTCCATCTTAATTACATGTATAAAGACCCTGTTTCCAAATAAATTTGTATCCTGAGATTCTGGATGGATTTGAATTTGGGGGGAGGTTGTAGAACTTAAAATATGTTAAATAACCCCAGTTTCTTCCACAGTTATTTTTTTTTAGAGAGACAAAGCTTGCTGTGTTACCCAGGTTAGCTGCAAACTCCTAGTGCTGAGTAGCTGAGACCATAGCTGTGTGCCACCATGCCTTGTACTTTGTAGTCATGCTGTTTATCTATATTGGTGCATATAGCTTTAGTTCATCTATTTTCAAAATACTAATTTTGTTAAACATCAGAATTTACCAAATCTTTTGTTGATTCAGTTAGGATACTTCTAGTTTTTTTGCTATTAAAAATAACCTTTTGGGGGCCAGAGATTTAGCTCAGTGGTTCTGGTGCCTGCCTCGCAAGCACAAGGTCCTGAGTTTGATCCCTGGTACCAAAAAAAAAAAAAAAAAAAATAACCTTTTGGGCCACGGTTTTAGCTCAGTGGTTCCACTGCCTGCCTTGCAGGTGCAAAGTCCCGAGTTTGATCACTGGTACCAAAAAACCCCTAAAAATTACCTTTTATTTTCTTATAAACCAGATGTTTGTGTAGATGTATTTGAATGTGGATCTGTGTGTAAATGTCCCTCTTATATGTGGTATATTCAACATTAGTTTTTATTCTTTTGATATACTTGTAGATTTTACAACAAAATGCCCAAATCTTAAGTCACAATTCAGTGAATTTTGATAAATGAATAACTATAGTTACCAACTTTTAAAATGGTGATTGCTGTCTAGTTCTGTATTGCCTAGCTCCAGGTCAGGAAGTGGTCTGTTCTACTAAAACTTGGTTTTAGCATTTGTGGTCTGTGATCATCTTGAATTGATTATGGTGTGAGCTAGAAATTGAAATTTTTTCCCTTTTGCAATGTCTAGTTTTTCTAGTACTGTGTTTTGAAAAGATATTAGTTTCTTCCTTGCTTATCACTGTGAAAGTTAACCGGAAAAAAAAAAGATAATCAGATAACCATGAAAATATTTCTGGGCACTGCTGTGTCCCATCAATGTATTTCTTGGTACTTACACAGTACCACACTGGCTTGGTTGCTGTACTGTTAGTCTTAGAGTCAAATATGGTCAGTTTAATTCCTCCAATATAGTCTATTTTTAAGATTAAGTATTCTAGATCTTTTGTATCTTCCTATGCATTTTAGAATTAGTTTGTCAGCTCTTGTATGACTTCTCAAATTTTGACACTAGTAAATGTTATTTTGAGTTTATTAAATCCCCGTCCCCGGTAGCATTTTAAGGGTTTTTTTCCCTTCCATTTGTTCTCTTTGTTTCTGCCATTTGTTTTACTTTATATTTTGAGACAAAGTTTTGCTATGTAGTTTAGGCTAGCTTGGAACTCACTATGTAGTCCAGGCTGGCCTTAAATTTGTAACCATCTTTCTGCCTCAGCCTCCCAAGACCTGGGATTACAAACAAGCATGCGCCCCACCATACTTGGTTTGAGGCTTTCATTGGAAGGTTCATACTGACTTAACTAGGGCTCTTTGGGGAAAGGAACTGAGACCGTTCTAGTACATTAACCAAACATTCCCAAACTAGAATACCATCTTGTGATTGAAACCCAGGTAGTTGTTAAATTTCAAAAAGTCATTGGAAAAATCATCATAATGAACCAAGTGTTGTTTTCTTAAAAACACTGAAAATATTCTGGGGCTTTAAGTTAACCATTTACATTTTTATTTTATGTAAAAGAAGATGTACAGGTGTCTATCTGCTGTTTTTCTGAAATGTAGATAAGCAAATGATCACTCGCAAGTTAAAAAGAGGTAAGAAAGAATTTAAGTAAGTTTTTGATGAAAACTTTTTCTTTTGAACAGGGCGTCATCGTTGTATTGGGGAAAATTTTGCCTATGTTCAAATTAAGACAATTTGGTCCACTCTGATTCGTTTATATGAATTTGATCTCATTGATGGATATTTTCCTGCTGTGAATTATACAACTATGATCCACACCCCTGAAAACCCAGTTGTCCGTTACAAACAGAGGTCAAAATGAAAAATGCCAACTTGAAGTAATGGGACATCAGTGTAAGCTGCAAATCCATCTGTTGAGAATGAAGTCTACGAAACAACACAGTGTGCTCTTTTTTAAATTCCAAAAGCCAGTTTATGATTTTAATATTTTATTAACTGACTTATTAAATCTAGTGGTATTTGAGACATTTTATAGTTTTGATACTTTGGTGGGCTTTGAGGAAGCCAAGTTTATTAGAAAAAAAAATTGTTCAGGGTGAATCTAGGTAATTGGCAGATTCTAAATGATAGAACTTTTGGGTACTAATTTTAAAAGCATACAGAGCTCTTGGCAAATAAGTTCAGGAGAGTCAGATCTGGGACCAGTTCTGCAGGGTGTAAAGAGCTCAGGGATACTTGGAAGATGACAGGTCATTCATTTACCTTGGTAATTTTTATATGTAAGGAGAGGAGGGTAGGGAATCAACTCACAGTGAAAGCTTTGGATAAAAGAGAATATTGTTAATTGTTTTGTTGTGAAGATAGTTATCAGTGATGGAGCTATAATTGTAAAATCCGCTGAATTCTAACTGGAAGCACTTACTATAGAAAGTTGAGAGAGATCTAGGTTTGTGCCTTGATAATATTTCCTAAAAATAAATATTAAAGACTGCTCATGTGGTGTTTTGATGTAATTGCTAAATATCAGCTATTTCTCCATCTGCTAAATAATGTGTTTCTACATATTCATGTAAAAGTCCTTAGTGGGCAGTTTTTTCTTCCTTGGCTGAAGGTTTTTCCCTGCCTTCTCTCCAACATCCAATTTGGGCTGTGTATATTACTAGTTTTTTTTGTGTGTGTCTGTGTGTGGTACCCTGGGGATTGAACTCAGGACCTTGTGCTTGCCAGGCAGGACATCTCATGCTCTATTACTAGTTCTTTTGAATCAAACAGTTCAACATTTTGAACTGAGGACTGAAGTAATATGAAGCAGGGTCACTGGAAAATAGTGTTGTTAGTCATATTCTGTGAAGCCTGTTTGAGAATCAGCCTAATTCAAATATTCTGGATGCCTACGTGAGATATTTGGAATTTGACCACATAATCTGTGAAGCCAAAATATTTTCTCTTGTGTATGTTACATTCTATTGAAGAGGCTAGAAGATTCATGTTAGACTCTTGTGAAGGCCAAATCTCTGCTGTTATTTTTTGCATTAAAATTCTCTTTGAGAAAAATAAGAGTGTGTGAAGTATGTGCTTCAGTGAGTAGAGTTGGGGCATCCAGGAAACTGGGTGGGAAAGATTACATCTTTACTTGCACTCTTGTCTTTTTTTTTTTGGTACTGGGGATTGAACTCGGATCCTTACGCTTGCGTAGCAGGCGGCAAATCCATTGAGCTAAATCCTCAGCCCGGCCCTCGCACTCTTTTCTTTTTACATATAGATCTGGTTCATTTAATGGCACAAATATCTTTACCTGGAGAAACATGACATGACTTATTTTTCTACAGGTGGACACTACACTTGATCCAGTTTTTCTCTAACACCAGTGACAGTGTCTTCTTAGGCTCCTTTGGGGAAATTACCAAGAGTAATAGTGCTGGGTTTGAGGAGATACAATTTTTCAGGACATTTTCAAATTGCCCTCTAAGTGGTTGTATCAGTTACATTTCCATCAGCAGCTTCTGTGTTTCTGCAAATTCTTTTATTTTGTTCATTGAGAGTTTCATTATGTCATTTCTTTTTTTCTTTTTTTTGGTACCAGGGATCAAACTTGGGTCTTTGTGCTTGTGAAGCAGGAGGCGAAACCACTGAGCTAAATCCCCGGCCCTTACTATGTCATTTCTGATTTCTAAAATTTAAGTTTTTATCTGTTGTTTCCTTTGCAATCCTGTATGTTTTGTTTTTAAAAGCATTATTATGAAAAAAGATCTATAATTTCACCCAACTGCTGAAGAGAGAACTGAAGTTAAGAACCTGAAGTAAGGTTAGTCTCTTTAGTGAATAGTTTCAGACTTCTAACAGAATTTATTATCTTTTTTAGGGGTGCTGGGGATCACACCCATAGCCCTGTGCATGCTAGGCAAGTGCTAGACTTCAGCAGACTTAGTTTGTCATCACAGTCTAGTTATGACAAGCATAATCAAGTGTGATTACAGAAGTCTTGAAGAAGGGCTGATGGTCAAGCAGTGGGAGTAAGCACAGCTGTGTTCATCTCCATTCTTCACTGCTTCCCTACAGCATAGCCTGGAACAAGGTTTTAACCCATAACCTCCCCCTTCAATTATTTTGCTATAGCTAAAACTCTACGAGCCTACCTGCTAACGGGAAATTTGAGTAATTTGAAATGTTAAAAAATACAGCAGTGTACTTGGTACTATGCCTGTTTGTGTTGATATAAATAGGATATCAGATAATAAAATCCTCTAGATGTTATTGACAAATACTACTACTGCTTTAGTAGGGAGCCATGTGGCTGGGGAAGACTGTAGATAACATGTAACACTGGCACTTGGATTATCTCTGTGAGGTAACACTGGCACTTGGATTATCTCTGTGAGCCTCCCAATCTGAATTTGGCTTAGCAAGGATATTTAATTCTGGTGGATTGTGATTAATAAAATTTAAGATTCTATCTTAAAGCTAAATGATTTGTCTTAATGGGCCAAGACACATCTTTGAATAGGCAAAATACTAAATATAACAGAGCAAATATGGATTAATCAAAAAATTCCAATATAACATTAAAAAAAAAAGTTGATGTAAAGGCAGATGGAAAACTATCTTCAGTGGGGGCAGAGAAAAACCCTAATAGCTACTTCTAAAATTAGGAAACTGAGTCCTGCATATCTGAGATAAGTAACCAGACGATAGGCATCAAGAGGTATGGCTCAGCTAAAAATGAAGAAGATTCAAATACAGTGTGGTGAAAATGGTGAAGTCATTTTTATTTCAGTACTTGACAAAATACCCCCCAAAATTCAAAACTTCTACCATTATACAAAAATATGTCTCTACAAGTGGTATGTTCTGTTTTCATCACCAGTAGCAAATATATTAGGCAGAAACATGTAACTTTAGTAGCCTTGTAAGAAAAGTGCAGGACCGCAAGCTACACATCCAGCAGTATCATAATTTGCAAGTTTACTCTTTTCACCCATTTGATAAATACACAAGGTTCATAATTTAATCATTTAAATTAGCATTCCATAAATATACATGTAATTTAATGATTGTTGTGCATGAATTACATACACAATGCGTATATACACAAATTCCAGTTTTCATGTGCTGGCAAGGGATTTGTATACAATCATAAGCTGTTTATAATGGTCCCATTGAATATTCACAATACAAAAACACAAAAGAACCATTGATTTACAAAAAAGAATTTCTTTAAAATCGCTTCATTTAATGATGTTTTGAAGGATTATCTTCTCATGCCAGTATGAAACTGAATAGTTGAACCTACAAGAGAAAAACAGGCCATTTCAATGATTTCAAATTAGACAGTTACCTATACCAGGTATATATTCTCATAAAACAGATTACTCTTATCCACCATTAGAAAAACGTCATTTATATTTGAACTGGTTTGTAAAAGATTCTGATTATGTATTTAAAGGTCACCATGAGTGTCTCTTAACATCAAGGAAAGTAAGACAATACTAACAAGTTCTATAAAGTGCTTTGAAGGTTGAATCAGCTTGAGAAATCTTTGATCTTCAAAATCTGGGTCATATCGCTTCTCGGCCTTTTGGCTAAAATCTAGGTCTTGTGAGATTCAGATGCGCAAAACAAACCAAACCAACAAAGAAAGAAAGAAAGCTCAACTATGGTAATAAAAGTTTCCTGTAACTACAAATAACCTACTATTAGTCCATAGTTTGTGGGACTAGTAGAAAAAAACTGTCCTTAATAAAGTTAAACATGAAAGTAGACTTGAGAGCACTATCACTTAAAAATTATTCAGTCTTCGGATCAAGAGTGAACTGAAGGGAGATTAGGCAAAGAGGTTTTTCCATAATGAACAGGGAATTCTTCATCTGTATTATAAAGTATGCTTTGGATGTGTTTTTGAGAAGAGAAAAATAAATGGATCATTCTTACAAGGACTTTTAAAAATGGGGTATTTTTCAGCATCCATGAGTACAATGGAGCACGAGGGATAATGGCTGCATGAAGTGCTGAAGGCAGTTCAGTGCCTTAGCACTTTGTACCATGCATTAGTTACTTCTGAAACATTCTCCAATCAACAAATTCCCAGCGCCTTGTGCTTTGGTGCTCATCCTGCATTTTGTCTTAAATCGTTCTGCTGCATGAAGATAGTAGGGAATCATTTTGGGTGGAACAGGATTCTGGGTGATAAATTATGTCAAATTCTTTGAAGGCTTTGCAGGTTACACAGTTTAAGCTTTGGCTAACTTGGTAACTTGTGCACTGAAAGAAGATCCTCCTAAAAAGTGAGGATCAAGCAGTTTCAAACATGAGAAAGGAGAGCGGTGGGTCTAGCATTATGGTGCTATCGATAAGTAAAGAAGAGTACCTGACTGCACAGTTCCAAGTCGTCTTTGTAGTGCCTCTAGCCGAGTGATGTAATCTGTCAGAGCTCTGTCAGGATCATAATTCTGAAGCTGAGAACAGGCTAGGGAACCAGGATTTAAATCAGCTGGAATGCCTGTGTACCTAAGGATTAAAAATATATACATGAATCCAAATTATCCAGAAAGAATGGGACTAAGTTACCCACCTGCCTTTACTCCCTGCTTCCCAAAGGTAGGTCATTTATACGCTGCCTGATCTACATCCTCTATGCTTTTAAGTTTGAGATGACAAAAACTCTTCAAATTCAAAGAAGCTACGAAGTCATCAGAAGAATGCCCAGTACAATGCCTCTCAGTAATGTTCTCAGGAAATGTTGGATATGTATAAATGCATCTTGTGTAGACTGTTAGGATTTTCATAATGGCCAAAGGCTTATCAATTTTAGTCAATACTTCACCCAATGTCTATAGCATATATCAACACATGGGCAAATCTATTCCCTATAACTTTAGAAACTTTACAAATTCAAAAACTAGCTTTGATTCTGAGCCTTGGGTTATATAAAGTACATATAGGTAAAGATGAATAGCTACTGCAGTGCAAGAAAGTAAAAGCCCTATAGTACCCATCTTTGTTACATATTAATGTACTTATTCCACTCAGGTTTGATCAGATTCTTTTTTTTGGTACCGGGGATCGAACTCAGGACCTTGTGCTTATGAGGCAGGTGGCAGAACTGAGCTAAATCCCCAGCCCAATCAGATTCTTACCTATTTTGAAATGGTAAGGGAGATCTAGGATATTCCAGATCTGATCTTGAGCGGTATGTCATATGTCTTGCTTCTCCATACAGCTCCAGTCCACCAGAAGAATGATAAAATGGGTCAGTTTTTTCAGCACCTAAAATAACCCAAGATGTATCATTATAAAGAAAAAAAATACCTAGCCCTTGGAAAAGTTCTACAAGTAGATAAGGTCTCAATGAACTAGTATACTACACTACACTGTGTCCTAGTTATAATCATTTTTAATTATTGCTAAAGGAGATAACAGTATAAGCAAAAATTTGATTTATTTGCAGTCAAGATTTGCTAGCTTTGAATACAACACATAACTCATTGCGGAAAACACTTCAGCTGTTGCAGTAGACACCAAATGTAGACAGTTTCCTTTTCTCTGCTGCTCTCTCTTAGCAGACTACCCACAGGCAGCCCAGTGCTGACACACAGGATGGCCGTGCTGTCCTCTAACTGTATGGCCCAGCTTTTGACCTCACCCTTAGGTCCAAAATGTTAGAAGACTAATGAACTGTAACTCACGGTCACTATACAGTGTGCTAATAAACTCGAGACCTGAACACTGCTAAACTGTGGAAACAAACTGTAACTATTCCACATGACTGAGCAACTCTGGAAGTAGGACTTGAAATGCAGGTGGAAGGAGGTACGGGCTTGAGCCAGATGGCCAGGGTTTGGTCCTGGCTCCATTACTTCTCTAGGGGGTGATCTGGGGCCAAGAATGTGTTTTCCACACTTCAGTTTCTCATCTGTGCTGTGAGAGTAACAGTGATTGTGCTTACATTATAGGACTGGAAGAACACATAAAAAAGCAGGGCTTGTGTAGACATTATAATCCATAAAAATCACCTGTTAATATTTTTAAAAGAACAAGGCTTCCAGCCTTGTTAAAGAGTCTGTCTCTGGACAACACTGGTTCTGGAATTATTATTATTATTATTATTATTATTATTATTTTGGTACTGGGGATCAAACTTGGGTCCTTGTGCTTGCGAGGCAGGCTGTGGAACCACTGAGCTAAATCCCCGCCCCTTGGAATTAATTATTTAGAAAATATTATATATGCAGTAATTTTAGTCATAAATACAATAACCTGTTTTGACTTCACCTGGATGCAGTCCAAAGCCATCTCTGTTAATATTGATGGAACCAGAACCAGTGACTCGGTGCCACCGACGAACCAAGAATTTCATTCTAAAAAAGATCCCAAAAGGAAATTTCACAGAACATCTTTTAAAAAATTGTCAATTAAATACGCACACAAAGCAAATTTAAATACTATCACATGATCACCTATTCTAAAACTACGTAAACGTCCCTAGCTTATAGCAAAATTAACAGCAAGAAAACAGTGCTACAAGCTCCCCTAACACCTTCCCAAGAGGCAACAGAGTTCACCAGCATTAGCAGCATGACATTCTGCTTTCAGGGATAAATGAGACACAAGAAGATAGAGGGTAAAAGTAGACAGGAAAACGATGGACAAGCAAGGAAAGGGTGAAAAGTAATGAAAGCAGAATGGAGAATGAAAGGTAGATGAGAGGGGAAAAGAACAAAAAGACCCTTAAGTTGGTGACAGTGAGCTGGGAGCTGGAGGCAGGGTGAGGGTAAAAGGAATGGGATTCTTAATGACAGGAACAAGTGAGCTAGCTGCTTGGCTCATCTGGGCCCACAGTACATATTGGAGTGCCAGCTTTGATTTCTTAATTCTAATTAGTTTTGAGGTACAGTGTTCTTTTTGGTTAGTTTTTGTTTGTTTGTTTTGGTACCAGGGATCAAACTCGGGTCCTTGCGCTTTCGCAGCAGGCAGTAAAACCAATGAGCTAAATCCCTGGCTCCTTGTTTTGTTTTCTGAGGCAGGATCTCACCTCAAACTCATGGCCTCCTGCCTCTGCCTCCTGAATGTTGGGATTCTAAGCATGTGCCACCATGCCTCAGTGTAAGGTTCAGTTTTAGGAGGGTCAAAATCAATGAACATAAAAGAGAAGAAACAGGGTGGGAGAACAGCAACTTTTATACTGCTTCCATGGAGCCTCCTCAGATTCCTCTATTCAAGATGACTGGTGAACTGTGACCTCCCACTGGGTCTTTTCTAAGTTTTGTGCATACTGTTCTTCCCCACTAGAAAGCATGGGTTTCAGGTAGACACTGTGTCTCCTAGCACTCAGCCTGAGTGTACTCTACACAAGGTGATGAAGGGAATGGCAGGGAAGCCAACAATGAGACACCTGAGAGCCAGTGGGAGTGGGACTTGGAGAACCAGCTGGCTGCTCCCGGGGGGCCTATAACCTCCCCTGACTCCTTCCTCACTATGAACTGAGATTCTGGACTAGGTCATCTCTCATAGCTTCCAGTTAAAAAAGTGTACCGTATTTTTCAAAGAAAAATAAGTGGGAAAAAAAAAAGACCAAAGCACTTAAAGAAGCATCCGATGTGACCTGGCCAGTACAACTGTGAAAAGCAGAACTGCTTTCGGCCTTGGGCCCTGGAGAAGTAAAAGGGAAGGGACCCCCTCTGGTACGTGCTGGCAAGGCCAGAGGACTGCAGCGGGCCAGGACTCCAAGGGTCTTGGAGTCCTCACTCTGTTTCAACCACAGAGAACGAACACCAAAGCTGCTAGCTTGAAGCTATCAGGGAGGAGGCGACAGAAGTTCCAGAAGAGTCCCTGCCCGGAAGGCTAAAGAGCTAGGCAAAGGCGTTTCCTGGCTGGGCACCAGGAATGAGTTACATTAGCAGCGAGAAGATAAATACATGCCAGCCTCAGAGGTAAGCTTTCAAAAAGGTTTTTTTTCTTTTGTGATCTTAGGTGTGTGTCTGAACTAGTTCATGGATGGATTCAAATTTGTTTTAAGAAGACAATTCATACTGGATGTGCTACAATACCTGGGTTTACTCAGTACAACAAAAGAATCCCTGCTAAAAGGATGAAGATCTGGAAAGAAGTAAGCTTATACCTCTGACTGTACAAACAGCCTTTCAAAGAGTCTACCAGTAAAGTGACTTTACCTGGAAACTGCGATGGACACTCTGGCAGCTGAACGAAACCTGGTGAAGCCCCGGGGGCGGTTGGTGATGACTTCTAGATCAGTGAAGGCTGGCTGTCCCCCAATGCGGGCAAGCAGTGCCAGGGTCGCATCTTCACATTCTTGGAACCCACCCAGTAACAGCAGCAGGTATTTCTTTTGATAAATAAGAGCTTTTCGAAAACTTTCCGCCCTCAAGTATTTACCATAAATTCTCTGTATTTAAAAAAGGGAAGAACAAAAAGGCATTCTGTCATTCAAACTGTTCCCTTGGGAAAGACAACCAGTGTCAAAACGAAACAAAACAAAACAGAATGGCAGTAACCTCTTACCGTTTTCTACTGTAACAGCAAAGTTGAAAGTTAATGTAATTAACTTGAACCTTTACAGTTCGTCTCTTTTCAGTAATGGAATGTGAATACTAACTTTATTAGTTATGCTTTTTATTTCGGGCTCATCATATTTACTGGATATAAGTTTAAAAACTGCATGGAGGGCTGGGGATTTAGCTCAGTGGTTCCACTGCCTGCCTCGCAAGCACAAGGTCCCGAGTTTGATCTCCAGTACCAAAAAAATAAAAATAAAAATAAAAATTGCATGGAGCTATTTTTATTATTATAGTTATTATCTATTTAGTTCTTTTAATAATGATTTCTGTCACTTTAAGAGTCATAAACTTGGGCTGGGAATTTAGCTCAGCGGTTCTGCTGCCTGCCTCGCAAGCACAAGGTCCAGAGTTTGGATAAAAAAAGAGTCATAAACTTATGTTCACTCCACAGCTGGAACAAATATTCCCAGTCTTTTTGTTTTAGATTCTAAATTGCTGATTAAGGTAGTTTTACCACAATGACTAGTCTTAGACATTAGAGAGGCTACCTGGAAGGCTTCCTGTCCTACGGAGCATTATGCTCTTACGCTGACAAGTACTGCTTTTGTTAGTTGAAAATAGAACATTTTAGTCTTTTAAGGGAAGAAACTGTAGGAAGCAGGACCACAAGCTCTCAGTGCTAACACTGTGACAATGAACAGAGCTTTACCTGGGTCCAGTCCTTGGCTTGCCTCTCCACAGACCTTCCTGTGACCAGCTAGACATCTAGCAATCATGATACAGATTGAATAAACAGACACAGAGACACAGCCTGAATGCCACCTCCACTTCATCAGTCTGTTCAGTTAAGGTCAGGAGAGATGAAACAAGGCAAAACAGAGGCCCTCCGGGAGACTGAAGAGGTCTCCTACCTTTAAGGTGACATGTTCAGAATCGGGGCTCAGATTCTGAAGTAAAGTATCATTTCTTAGTTCAGCTTTCAGTTTATACACTTCTGCTTCTGCCCTTTTCAAGGATTTCTGGAGAGTCGATTTCTCTTTGTTCCATACTTCTTTTTCAGAAGCAATGATGGCATTAATGTTGGCTCCACCACCAAATGAAAACCTAGAAGACTGCAGAGACCACATCCTACTTACATGATTTTTAAAGAACAAATCTCATGAAGAAAAACTAGAATTAATCATATTAAAGGTATCCCATGATGGGTGCCTAGTATCAGCTTTTTGATCTCAGGAAAGCTCAGAACCAATCTAAACTGACATTAAAGAATATTCCTGAAGTCTAAGCATATGTTCCTTTGCTGAGGAAAAAGTCCCTGGCAAAAGCATAGCCAGGGGAGGCTTAGCAGATTTAGCAGAGTTCTGAACTGAGAAAGTCAAGCAGCTGAACAGCTGGATCATCTGGGTCCAAATGTGGAGCCTGCACTCAAGAAGGGGACAGGAAATAACTCCTCATGTATACAGGTAAGTGGGTTGCTATGGAAACTGCATGGCTGGGTTTCCATCTATTTGTACAGTTTTCTTACTGGTCTTTCCTGTCAAGCGATTATAGAAACCAATTATTTTGTAGCTTTTTTAAACTGGAAAAAATTTAAATGCTTAGAGTATTTTATTCGACCGAAATATATAATTTAACAGCATCTTCTGCCTGAGTCATAAACATAGTAACTGGTGAGTATAACTGAAGAGAACAGTCAGGACCCTAGGGAGCAACATATCAATTTGGAGATAAACAGATTTTAGCTTGACTGTAATTTTAGTTCAGCTTTCTCATGTATAATTTTGCAAGTATATAACCCTGTGTCTGGTACAGAGAAGTCTCTCTCTGAAATAATAGCTACTGTTATTATTGTCATCCCTATAAAATTCTCCACAGATCCTACTAAGAATCAGATACTGGGTACTTTTACATCTCAGAGTCAGAAACTGAAACTGGACAAAAGAAACTGTAACTTGGCACTACTTTAAAAAATGACGTACGCAATCTCCAGCAGCTCCTGCCTGTCGGTAGCACCTTATCCGCTCTTCTAGCTTCATGACCGTGTTCCTCAAACCACTCTTTTCTTCAGTCAGCTGGCTGATATGTCCTGTCAGCTCAGCATTCTGTCTCAGAAGTCTTTCAGTCAATGAGCCACAAGAAGCACTTGGGGACACTAAGCTGGGCTGGGAAAATACAATGGGACTAGGTCACATAATTACAAATGTCCACAAATACTGTGTGTGAACGTGTGAAGAGGCACAGAGAGCACCCATTACATGACCAGTGCTTGGTTAAATAATAGTGAGAAATGCATCAGGAAGAAAAGAAGCTAGGGAAGGGCACAGTAAGCAAAAGAGCATAAAGACAAAGGCTTATTCAAGAGTGCTGCTTTTAAGGGAGCTACAAGTTACTTGGTAAAACAAGAATAAATGTTGCTTCATTTTGTGGAAAATGGATTTAAATGAAGGCAATGGAGAGCCATGAAAGGCTTTGGGCAGGAGCATTCCACAAAGTTATGTACTGGAAAGATTCCTTTCGCAATAGTGCCCAGAAGAAAGTAAGTTAGGGAAGAGCCAATATTCTAGTGTCAGGCATACCCATGAGGAGGTAGTTACAACAGTCCTGGTAAGAAGTACTGAAAGCTGAGGCAGTGGCTAGGGACAGAGAGCAGTGGGCATAGGGATCAAACATGCAGAGGTAGAAAGCACATGACGTAGACTGCTCAGCTATGTAAGTCCACTACTTTTTTGTTTTGTTTTTGTGGTACCGGGGATTGAACGCAGGACCTTGTGCTTGGGAGGCAGGTGCAGTGCCACTGAGCTAAGTCCCTGGCCCTACTCAGCTGTGTAAGTAAGGGCAAGGGAAAGTAGACTATGGCGACTTCCAGTTTTCCAACCGGGATGACAGCATTATCAGAAAGGTAGGAAGGTTAGGGGATAATGATGTTCAATTTGGAGCATGCTCCTGGGATTCCTAATGGGTCATTATGGGGTATGGGGAAATGAAAGACACCTAGTAACTAATTGAAAATGTAAGCCTGGAGCACAGGTCAAAGGTCTATACTAGAACCACAGTCCACTAGACAATAAACTCTATGATGTATATGAGATTTTTGTCAAATATGTTCATTTTATCCCTAGAACACAGCAGAGTACTTGGCACACAGTATGTGTGCAAAATGTAAGTATTTGTTCAATAAATCAGTCTAGTGAAGATCTGTGGGAATGAAGGAGCTTTCTTTTGGTACCAGGGATTGAACTCACGACCTTGTGCTTGCGGGGCAGGTGCAGTGCCCTTGAGCTAAATCCCCAGCCCTGAAGGAGCTTTTATAGTACAGTTAGCGAAAAACATGGAAGATGACAAGAGGAGAGAAAACCATGAAGGTAACTAACTGATTAAAAACATCAATGAAGTGAGAGGATACTGACACAAAAGAGAAAGAAAGAGGGTTTTAAGAGGATGGAAGAGCTACCAAGTGTCCAGTGTAACAAAGTCAAGGCAAGAATAAAAACATTCAGCAGATTAGTGAACCATGAAGACACTGGTAGGATTCTGAGGATAGTTTCATGCAGTGGTGAGCATAGAAACCAGATTGTTCTTTCAAGAAGCTTGGTATCTTTTTTTTTTTTTGGTACTGGGGATCAAACTCAGGACTTTGCACTTGCAAGGCAGGCAGTGGCACCACCGAGCTAAATCCCCAGCCCAGCTTCTATCTTAATAAAAGGGCACTGTAGCCAGGCATGGTGGTGCACACCTGTAATCCCAGCACTCTGGAGGCTAAGGCAGGAGGATTACCTTGAGTTTGAGGCCATCCTGACCAGGCTACAAAGTGAATTCAAGGCCAGCCTGCACTACAAAGCAAGAGTCTCAAAAAAAAAAAAAAAAAAAAAAGGAAAGAAAAAAAAGGGCATTGTATTCAATAGCAATGCCAAAGTTACTTTCCTCCCAAGCTTTCATTAGCTGCTACTGAAAGGCAAACATTGTATTTAAAATTAAAAAATTAAAGTTTTATAGAACATGCTGCCATTTCAAACAGTTCATATTTTCTTTCTTTCTTTTTAACATTTCATATTTCCTATTGAATCTTTGCTTTCTATGCTTTACAAGGAACTTTCAAAAAGTTTTACCTCTTCACCTGGCTGGCCAGTGAATTTCTGTAGTTGTAAAATAATTCCATCAATATTTTCCTGAACCCAAGTGAAAGTTTCATCATCTGCTGTTTCAAACTGTAGCCTTCAACAGAAAGACAAAAAATTATAAAAGACTTTCTCAGGGGTGTTTACTAACACAAATACTATAGGCTGGGGAGACTGAGTTTCACTTATCACTACCCCTTACAAGAGTTCTTTTTCCCTAAGTTCAGGTATTATTTTCAGATGTATGAGCTTTGTTAAAGAATATCATCTTCCCATGTAAACAAGTATTTCCTTTAACACTTCAATTTCCCACCCTGGCTATCTATTCCTGCAGGGTAGTGTCTGACTAGCCTAAGATTGCTGTTCCAAGGATCAGGCAGGAAAGCCTAACCTATTAGAGGCTTTCTGGGACAGATGTTGCAGGCTTGAAGCTGCACGCTCAAGCTTCTGTCTGACCACTTCTAATTCATGATTGCAGCCAGTTTCTCGTCCATTCATTACAGTCAATTTAGGATAGTTTGCTTCTTTCGTATCTCCTTCTATTTTCTGTTGAAGAACCCAATTTCGAGTCCGATCATTAGTCAAGCTCCAACTGGTTGGCTGGCAATTTTGGACAGAAAAAGAAAACAGTAATTATAAACAAACAGCATTAAATATTCTTTCTTAAGGGAATTATTGTTTATATTCCAAATAAAGTTCTACTAATTTATTTTTAAATGATTTGCATGTAACTATTTAAATAATTTAATCCAATGTCAAAGTTTTATAATCAAAGGGCTATAGAACTCCTTACAAGTATTTAAAAGTAAACAAAGTGCCAGTGTACCTCATTAAGATTCTGATACAGAATTCGTCTACTTTCTTGTTTTTCTTCTCGTTCTAGCTCTTGCTTTTGGAATTCCTGCATAATTCCTTGCAGTCGCTTTCCTTCAAGGTCTAACTTATAAACCTGTTGCCTTTTCTCTTCTAGCTGGTGCTGAAGATCTTCCACTTTAGACTGGAGTTCATGCATTCTTTTCTGTCCCTCAGTGTTGGCCTCTTGCTCTGTCTGCAGTGTCTTCTTATGAACCTGTCTGTCTTTCTCCATTTGCTGTCTTGTTTGCAAAGAATCCAGTTTGTATTTTTCAGTCTCACTTAACAATTCTACTATACGGCTATGTTTCTCCTCCAGCTGTCTCTGCAGCTCCTTCAGGAGGTCCTCCGAGGGCAAGTGTGAATGCAGCTGGCCACCCTCGTCACTGCTCTGCAGCCGGGCCCACAGTTCCCGCTCCCTAGCTAGGGCACCACTTAGTTCCTGAATTTGGACTTTCTCAGAATCAAGGAGTACTTGAAGCTCTAAGTTTCGGCCTTGCTCTTCTGATAACTCAGCATCATGTAGCATTCTTTGTGATTCCATTTTCTGGTGTGATTCATGTAGCAGTTGCTTCTGTTGTTCCAAAAGTAGATTTAGCTGAGTATTCCTCTGTTTCTGGTCCTCAAGTGAAAATTTCAGATCCTTGTAAGCAAACATCAGATTCAAATATATATTAATATTACTAAAAATACTTTGTAAGTATACAGCCTTATTAATACTTTAATGCCTTTATTAATACTAAATTGGTAATACACAGTAATAGAAGATGGTACTGTTGCCCAGTTTATTAATTTAAATTTTCAGTGGTGAGAACAATTATTTAGACAGCCAACTGATTTTCATCAAGGAACATAAACAAGAGATAGGTAGGATAACACATTTCTCTTAAAACATTAACTTATCTGGCTAAATATGAAGCAGGATACATTTCTCCTAACAAAGATCATTAAAAACCATAAGCATTCTTGCAATACTTTAAAGACATATTAATGGTATGTCTTTTTTTTTCTCAATTGTTAGGTACTTATGTGTGAATGAGCATAAGAAAATAATTGGCTAAGAGTAGCATATACATGCAAAGTCCACAGTGATGGAGATCCCAACAGCTACAGACTGGTCCACAGGGATGGCTAAGATAGCTTTTGCTTTCATATACTAAATTATTAAAATACTGTGTAAAAATACATGTTTCTGATAGAAAATGACACAAGTTTCTGAAAAATCTTATGTTTTTCAGTATCAGAGGCTAAAAATAATAAAGCCTATACAGAAAGCAGGGTCAGGAACAAATTATTCAAAATCAATGCAAATTTGTAAATAAAAACTATATTAGCACTTGGGAGAAGTAACACATCCCTGTGTGGAGGTTAACATAGTAGAAATTAAAAAGCGAGCAAGCATTAAAATAGGGCTAAAGTCTTGGCGATGTGTTTTTGCCACTGAGTTGGCAAGTACTGCATTATGTGAACAGGAGGAGAGCTCTGAGCCCATGAGGCTGCCACTGGAGTGGCCCTTCCACGCAGTCCAACCTGCGTGGAGCTGAGAGCGATAAAAGACCAGGGGCACCTCTCTGGGACAGCCCAATGCTTATTTTTTCAAAGTATAGCAGCAAGGGCTCCTGCTACCACAAAAGTAGTCCTGACCCATTCTCTAGGACAGTGGTGGTAAACCACACGTGCCATAGTGTGCATGCGGAGCTCTCTCTGTCAGCACGCAGGCAAGTCATCCCAGCAGTTGAGTATCAGGTAACAGTTGTTTTTTCTAAACTAAAACCTCACTATTCAGGTTTAACTGCAGTATTGGCACTTTGCGATAAATAAATGGGCTCTGGGTTGCAGTTTGGGCGCTCATCTCTAAAAGTTCACCACTGCTGCTCTAGGAGAAAACAGGCACCAAAACTACTTTTTCGTTAAACTAATGTGATTGCCCTATTTATCAAACTGGGTGTGCACGAATTCACAGTACCAAAATATGGTGCCAAAGAGCAATCAGTATGTATCTTTGGATGCAGCAAAAATCACCAAACCATCAACATTTACTCATAATACAGTTTAGATGACATTATAAGAGTATTCAACACAGAGTGAAGAACTTATAGCTTATGAGTCTAAGGCTGACATTTTAGACAAAGGCCAGTCTCAAGACTCTGGATTCTCCCGAGACATAAAAATGATGATGACAGTACCTCGAGTTTGTCTTTCTCCCTCTCTTCACTGTGTCCCAACCTGGCTTTTTCTTTCTCCAAAGCCCACTGGAGCTCTCTTGACTTTTTCTGTTCACTTGCTAATGTATCATTAAGCAAATGTACTTCATCTGTCTTATCTTTAACTTCCAATCTAAATCAAAAGAGACAAATGAACTTTCATCAAGTATATCTTGAGCACGAAAGAGAAAACAGTTTCCACTGAAAAGCTGAGGCATATACTATACGTTATAAACTAGCTAACAGGAAAATACAGTTTAAGGATGCTTGAATGTGGTCATTTCAAATTCTCTGTTTCTAATACTGGCAGTACGACTATTATTTATCACTGTAAACTATTATACGATTTATTGCTACAGGATAATTATTTGTGGTTATGGGGACTGACACCAGGAGCACTCTACTGAGCTACATTCTCAGGCTTTTTCATATTTTGAGACAGGGGGCTCATTAAATTGCGCAGGCTAGCCTTGAACTTCTAATCTTCCTGCTTAAGCCTCCTGAATAGCTAGGTTTACAGGTGTGCACCACACTTACAAAATAAAACAAAATTTTTTTCTTGTCTTTTACTGAACATAGGAATAATCATATGAATTTGTGTGTGAAATCAATGTTCAAAATAAAAATGACTTTTTTTTTTTTGGTACTGGGGATTGAACTCAGGACCTTGCGCTTGCGAGGCAGGTGGCGGAACCACTGAGCTAAACCCTTGGCCCAAAATGACTATTTGTAATGTGTTTTGGCAAGCAAAATATCTCAGTATTTACACCAACAAATGTATCTTTTTTGCAATCATTATCTCTTGAACCACTTTGCATATTTTTGGCTAATTAAACCATTAATCATGTTGAGATCTTAAACATCATTTAGTTTATGGTAAAAGAAATACCAAAATTATATCTCATACAGAACTGAGGCCACAACAGAGAATATGCCAAAATAATCAGGAGTTTATAATTGGAAAAAATTAGGAATTTCCTATCTGTTGTTTTTCCTATAATTTAACAAAGTTTTCATGCTATTTAAACATCATGTATAGTGTTTTATTTTTGTTTGCGCAATATTTACAACAAAATTACACCATTCCTTCCCTAATACACATTTATAATAAAGAAGCTTGGCACACCTGAATGATTCTAATTCTTTTAGGTGCTTATGCTGTGCCTTGAGTGTTGTTTCTAGCTCCAATTTCATTTGCGCAAGTTCACTTTTTAGTTCAGCAACGAGCATTTTTTCTGAACTCAGCTGTTCCTGGAGTTCAGTTGCTTTGTCTTTCACACTGCTCAGCTCCACTTGCATCTCCAGAATTTGAGACTGCTTCTGTTGCATATTACATTCCAAGAGTTCTAAAGGGAACAAGATGGATATTGAAAATATGATCTTGCAACTCATTTGGTTTATAAATAAATCACTGCTAAGAAATAATTTGTAATTTAGGAGATTGTTACAAAGCAACTGTGAAAGATTACAGTCTCCAAAATTGGTATTTTATATAAACTTTATAGATGTTTTCTTTAGTAGTACTAGCACCAGAAATTTACAGAGTAGGCCTGGGAGCTGTGCGCTGCTCGAGGTGATATGGGCCAAAGTGGAGTGCACACTGCGGGGCACTTACATCTCAGCCCTCACCAAGGCTGGGGACTTAGGTGCCCGCAGTCCCTGTCCCAGGAACAATGGGCCTCAGTGTGCAGAGCACTCGGGCAGCTCTACTCCTGGGACAGCTACAGGTGCTAGTGCTTCTGGGGTCTGCCAACATGCAGGGATCTCCAAATATGGGATTTTAGGTGCCTCTGCAGAACTGCAGTGCTAACCTAACAGAGAATGTGTCCTCTAAGGATACAAGCAAACCTAACAGCTGCAGCACTGTGAAAAGATCAACTACAGTTTCCCTGGACTCAATCAACATGACACCTGTCACCATGAAATCCACAGTGACTTTGAAAATGGCAATACCAGTTATCTCTACCTCAAAGTCTGCTCCTAAAGCAACAAGTGTTTCAGAAACTAATCCCAGATGTCAATATCCTCAATGACCACAGCCCATAATAGTTTGGTGACATAGCTAACAATCACAGCAACCATTCATTCTAGAGAAAATGAAGGATCAAAATTTGATGATGGCAGCTTTGTTGGTAGTATTGTATTGGACAAGGGAGTTTTATCTGTTTTTTACATTGGATATAAAATGTATTATTTGAGAGGAGGCACTTAATATAGAACCATTGATGAATATGATCCCATCATTTAAGAAAATCCAAGAACCAAGGAAAGATGAAAGAAAGATTGATGCAGCTCAATCAGTTAATTTTGGTTATTAGTTTAAAGCAATATTCTCTCCTTAAAAATAGTATAAACAGGCCATGCATATACAATATATTACATATATATGTGATGATTCATCATCACTACTAAAGTTAAAAAGGTCTTAAACATTTAAATGAATATTTGGAGCTAACAGAAAATTTATACAGTGATTATATTCACTTCTAGCAAGTATGCAATAAGACAAGTCCTAGCTCATGTTTTTGTGGCACTGGTCACATAGGACCAGTACCTGAAAGGCCTCATCATCAATGGCACAATGCCATCTGGGCGTCTAATTAAGAAGCTTGTCATAGCGCTCGGGATTCTGAGAGTCTTGCACACAAAGAACTTCATAGTGTTTTGGTTTTTTTTGGTGCTGGGGATCGAACTCGGGTCCTTGCACTTGCGCAGCAGGCAGTGAAACCACTGAGCTAAATCCCCAGCCCAACTTTATAGTGCTTTTAAGAGCTGATCATACCCCTAATTACTGAGGCCACAAGCAGAAATTACAGAATTCCATAAACCAGGCCACACCATAGTTTAGAAAGCTTCAACATTTTATATTTTAAAGTATGGTAGTTAGTCTAGAAACAGAAGACATACTCTCCTGAAAACAAAATCTTAAATAAAGCCTCAAACAATACCTGTGTTTTGTCCTATGAGAGGCCCACTGGAGCATTAGAAAGCAGGGTTGTTTTTTTTTGGTACCGGGGATCGAACTCGGGTCCTTGCTCTTGTGGGGAAGGCAGCTGCACCACTGAGCTAAATCCCCAGCCTGAAAGCAGGTATTTTTACTAATAACTTCTTTTAAGATTTTAATGTTAGCTGATGCAATTTTCTTTCTCTGTGTAATTTAGGCAAACTGTAATGTTGAAAGTGATGTTTTAAGTATTGAGTTGTAAGACTGGCATAGGAAAAACTATTGATTACATTATTTGTTACTGTAAGAATATTTGTCACCATTGGAAATTGCTTAACAATTGCTTAATGCTCATTTGTTAATTTTAATTTTATATTTAGTGAATATTTTTAAGAAATGTAGAGGTGCTTTCAACTTCTAGAAATTTTTAATGCAATGTTAAAACATTTAAAAGAAGGAAGAGCCCTGTACATGATTTTCAAAACAATATTCACAACTCTGTGTGGTCAGGGTTATAGATTATTGATGTTTATTAGATCAGGGTTATGGCACTCTCCCCCAGGCTACCGGGTTTCACTGTTACTATGATCTGTTCTTATAAAGAAATTTGTTCTCTATTAAGAAAAATTTCAGAATTGTAAGTATATTAAGAATGATAAAAGTTGAACACAATATATTAATAATGAATGCAAGATTTAAAATAAAAACAGCTTTAATTGAATCTATACCCATATTTCTCACCGTGTACTAAAGTAAAATCAAAGTAGATTAAAGAACTAAATGTTAAACTAGAAACAAAATGCTGGAAGACAAGATAGGCAAAACTGTTGAATAGACAGTTGTAGGCAAGGACTTTCTGAACAGAACCCCAGTTGCAGGAAATAGTTCCACGAATCAACAAATGGGATCATATTAAATTACAAAGCTTCTTCATAGTGAAAGAAACAACTAAGGAGTGAAAAGACAACCTACAGAATGGAGAAAATTTTGCTAGCAATTTCTCAGAGGACTCATATCTAGAATATATAAAGAACTAAAAAAATTAGACTTCCCAAAATAAAAGACTCAATCAAAAACCAGGCAAGTGAAATGAAGAGACACTTCACAGAAGAAGTACAAATGGCCAATAAATACCTGAAGAAATGCTCAACAGCATTGGTCATTAGAGAAATGCAAATTAAAGTAACACTGAGATGCCATCTTACCCCAGAACAAATGGCCATCATCAAGAAATCAATAACAAATGCTGGAAAGGGTGTGGGGAAAAAGAAATTGTTCTACACTGTTGGTGGGAATGTAAACTAGTATAATCACTATGTAAACTAGTACAATCTCTAGTATGGCGATTCCTCAAAAAACTAAAACTAGAAATTCCATTTGACCCAGCTATTCCCCTTCTAGGTTATCTATCTGAAAGAGTTAAAGTCATCATACCAGAGTGATACATTTACACTCATGTTTATAGCAGCACAACTCATATTAGCTAATGCTTGGAAACAGCCCATATGTCCATCAACAGAAGAATAAAGAAAATGTGATATTTACACACAATGGTGTGTACTACTCTGACACCAAGATAAACTTGTAGGAAAATGGATGCACCTTGAGACTATAATGTTTAATGAAATAAATCAGACTCACAAGTTTAAATATCACATGCTTTTTCTTATATTAGAAAGTCAGAGTAAAAAGAAACAGCAAAATAAAAGATAGGTAATAGGAAGTAGCGAGATAGATGGTTCTCAAAGGGGAAGGTGGAGGGAGGGAGGAGGGAGGAAAGGGATAAGGGATTAAAAAAAGAAATTTGAGTGTTATGTACATGTACTGACTTCACACATGGAATGTAAGCATTATGTCCTGCAAACATGTATCCCCCTCAAAAAAACCAACCCAATACAACCCCCCCAATATGAAGGGGCTCAAAAGAGAGGGAAGAGAAACGAGATGAATTAGGATGTGTTATGTACACGTACCAGCTTCCCACAAGGAATGTAAACATTATGTACTACACACATGTGCTAATAAAGTAAAAACAAACTTCAAATGTTCACACAAAATTAAACAGGCCTTCTATATTTGTTCATTCAAAATGTTAACCACTCACACTAAAATTTTCTAATAATTTCTGATAACCACATACAGTATTTGCAGTAGCCTCCCATATAATCTTGACTAAAATGATCAGCACTGCTTCCTTTTGTTCAGTCCTTCTTTGGAGATGGTCCCTAGAAAATTTATTATAACCCTGTACCCAAAAGTGGGAAGCACAAACCCTGGCTGGGATCCTTGCCACTGCCCTCTTATTAGACATCAATCAAATGCTGCACATTTGTTATAATGAAAACAAACAGGAATTTAAATCTTCAAGTACATTAAATGAAAAAATGTTACAACACATGAACAGGATCCTGTTTTCACAAAAATTATATACTTATGCATGCATGCACATTGAAAAGGTCTGTACACATATTTACCTAGGTGCTAAACAGTCATTATTTAAGGCTGTATGTGATTCTAGGGGTGACTTTTACTCTACTGTTTTTCTGATGTGCCATAAATACATAACAATATTCTATAAAGAAAACATTTAAAATTTAAAATTCTATTAAGGTTTATCAACTTATATTATTGATGTCAGGAGAAAGGAAGATGTTACGGTTTGGGTCTAGATGTGCCCCCAAAGCCTCATGTGGTCATAAGGCTTGATCTCTAGTATGTGAACGTGGAACTGATTCATGATGTGATGCTAGGCTCAAGGGCACTAGGATTAAGGGTGTGAGTGCTTCCTGCCCTTAGTAGTCTGAATAAAATAAAAAGGGCAGGGAGACACCAGAAATTCCCTCTTGTTACCTTTACTGCCTTGTGTGTGCCATGTTGTTTCAGCTCTGCCATGCCTTTCTGTCATCACTGCCTTGGAGTTGGGTGATCATGGATTGAAACCTTTACAAACTCTAAGGCAAATAAACCCCTTCCTCTTTAACTTTGGGTATTTGGATATTTTATTTTTTTTATTTTTATTTTTTTGGTACCAGAGATCGAACTCGGGTCCTTGCGCTTGCACAGCAGGCGGAGAAGCCACTGAGCTAAATCCCTGGCCGGTATTTGGGTATTTTGGTATTTTGTCTCAGCAATGAGAGGAAAGTAACACAGAAGAGTACTGGGTTTAGATGATACTCATGTTAATTTAGGCTTTTAAAACAATTTCTTTTTACATTTTTTTTTTGGTACCAGGGATTTGAACTCAGGTCCTTGTGCTTGCGGGGCAGGCGACAAAACCACTGAGCTAAATCCCTGGCCCATTAAAACAATTTCTTAATGAACAGCATATATAAATATGAATCTATGTGGTATTAATTAAGCTTTCAATGGGGTTCTATTTCATTTAAATAAAACAGTATTATCTCACACAATTTTCCTCTGCCTCCTAAAGGGATAAATTTATCTCATGGTACCTGTTCTCTCCGAAGTAATTTTAACCTGATTCAGGTTTTCAATGATAAATGTGAGACTGTGCAGTGACCGTCTCAAAAGCACAGACAGGTGTTTCTCCCATTACATGAAACACTATCACTAAACACTCAGGCATGTGTCCTCAGTAGGGAAGATGAAAATTTACTCTCTAACCATTTCTATCTGTAGTTCAATTTAAACAGACATCTCTACTGCAAATTGCAAAAAGACCCTAGCAAGCATATATCAAAAGCAAAAATCCATCTGGTCAATAATTATATGAAAAGGGACTTAAACCATGTTAGCAAAGTCAAAATCATAGTAAGTATCTACTATATAGCCAAGAGATGGCAACAAAGTATCCACTGTACACCCAAGAGATTGTCAGCTGTTTACAAATATGTGAAGCAATAAAACTCTCATGCACTGCTAGTGAGTGTGCAAACTCTAAAGGTGCAAATTTCCAATGATGAATGTCATTATATTATATACCTTAAATGTACCAATACAATTAATAAAAAAATAGTTTAGCATTATCTAGTAAATCTGAAGATTTACTATGACCCAACAATTCCACTCCTAGGAAGATTCATGTATATGTACATCAAACACACTAGAATTTCTGTAACAGCACCAACTGTGACAGATATAAAGCAGAAACAACTCAAATGTTCAACCACAGAATGGATAACATAATATAGAATATCCATGCAAGAGAATTCCACATAGTAACAAAGGCAAATGAGATAAATTCAGTAACTTGGATGAATGCTATAGAAAGGTGAAAGAAGATACAAAATATGTTCAGACTGATAAGGTTTAAAACAGGGAAACTTTAAAAAAAAAACAGGGAAACTTTAATAAACATATGGATACAGGGAATTTATAAATTGGCAGTAAAACTAAAGAAAAATCAGGAGGATTACCAGTAAGTACACACTACAGAGGAGTATGTGAAGGGGCTTTTGGGATATGGGCAATGTTCTACTTCTTGACATGTGTGATGTTTACACAAATATTCCTTTAATAATTTGTCATAATGCGTATTTGGATTCTGCACTTCATGTTACAGTTCATAAGTTTTTAAACAAAGCATTAAAAATGAAAATAATTATTTTCATTGTGGATTTCCTTTACTTAAGGTAGTTATCCTTTAGGGTATAGGAAAGACTTACTAACATACAGCGTGAAAACAAAGACAATGCACTTAATGGCATAATCTAAGGCCTATTTTTAATTAAACACTGCTAACCAATTTGATAATCTTCTAACCCCCAGAGTATTAATATAGATTATTTCCTTAGTGTTATGAAAATAAGAATGTGACTAAGAAGAAATGTGGTTTTTTTTTCCGGTACCAGGGATCGAACTTGGGACCTTGCGCTTGTGAGGCGGGTGGTGGAACCACTGAGCTAAACCCTCAGCCCTAGAAGAAATGTGTTTTAACTGAATAATGATAATAAGGGAAAGTAAGGAAATATTTTCAACTACTTGTGTAACCATATGAGCCTGTCATACAACCTACCTTGGCTGGGTTTATCACTCTCCTGCTCTCTTTTCAGGGTCATTTTCCTATCATTCATTTGAGCACGCAGTGCTTGAATTTCAGATAGCAAACTCTTTCTATCTGCTTTTTGGATACATTCCATAGCTGTCTGATATTCAATACCCTGTAACAAAGGACAATGAAAAATCAAATGAAAAGAGTTGTAAAAATAATGAAATTATCAACCAAGAAGTCTGAGGAAGAATGAATGGAATACACATTTTAAATTTATTTTAAAGGTTTCATTATTTTTCTTATCCAAATTATGTGAAGATCTGTTATAGATACCCCTTTACCTCTAAATGTTGCAGTGTACAGTATTTCCTAAAAGCAAAACATTTTCTTATACCACCACAGTACAATAAACAGAAAAATATTACTACAAAAATATTAATAGAGCCTAAAATTTTGGCAAATGTCCTTTATAAAAAAAGCAGTGATACTGATGAGTCTTTGTCTTTGTAATCCTGGATTTTTTGAGGAGTACAAGCTAGTTATCTTGTTTTATGTCCTTCATTGAAAAAAAGCACCAGATTTTTTTTGAACTAATTTAGCCAAGGTTCTCATTGTTAGCCAGCCTTCCCCAATGATAACATCTTATGCAATAATAGCACATTATCAAAACCAGAAAACTGACATTGCTACAATACTATGTAAACTAGAGAGCAAAACTTCATTAGTTTTTACATACACTTATGCTTTTCTAGGAATACAGTATTATGAAATCTTATCATTGGTACAGATTCATGTACATACAGTACCACAATCAGGGCACAGAACTATTTTATCAACAATGAGACTACTTGTAGTCACACCCTCTCCATACTCTTAACCCCTATACACTAATTTCTTATCTATCACTGTAATTTTGTCACCGCAAGAGTGTTAAATAACATGCAATATGCGGAGGGTATCAAGAGTTTGCTCTTTGTAAAGTGCTGAGTAGTGTTTTACTATATGGCTGTACCAAACTTTGTCCATCCATTTACCTACTGCAGGCCACTTGGGTTGTTTCCAGTTTGGGGATATTACAAATAAAACTGCTATGAATACTCACCTATAGGTTCTTAGGAAGACCCAAGTTTTCACTCCTGTGTTTTAGTATCTTTGAGTGTGAATGGTAGGTTATATGGTAAATGTATGTTCAAATTTGTAAGAAACCGCCAGGTTAGTTTGCAGAGTGGCTCATCTACTCTACATTCCTTCCATCAATGTATGCAAGATGTAGTGTCTGTGAATCGTTCCCAGCATTTGGTGGTGTTACAGTTTCTTATTTTGGCCACTGAAATAGTTGGATAATGTCCTCAATTTGTTTTGGTCTGATATTTTCTCAAGAGTAGATAAATATTATTATTTATTTTATTTTTTTTAGATAAATATTATTTCTGAGACAGGGTATCACTCTGTAGTTCAGGCTGGCCTTGAATTCACTTAGTGGTCTCGGCTGGCCTCCAACTTGTGCCAAACCTCCTCCCTCAGCCTCCCAAGTGCTTGGATTACAGGTATGTGCCCCCATGCCCAGCTTTGGCTGACTCTTTAGTGATGAGCCCATATTTATTCCAAGCACTAAAAAAAATTATGTTATCATTTTTCTTGACCAATCCTGCAGAAAAGGTTATTAAGCTCTTTCAAAGAACCAACTTTTAATGTTTCATCCTGTCTACTGTACTGTGTATGTATTTCATTAACATTTTTTTTTGGTACTGAAGATCGAACTCGGGTCCTTGCACTTGCGAGGCAGGCGGTGGAACCACTGAGCTAAATCCCCAGCCCCTTCGTTAACATTTTTATTTGTCAATCTTTATTATTCAGACTGTATTTGCAGTTTTGATTACCCATTAAAATGTATTTGTAATCCTCAAATGAGTTTCTTTCATTGCCATCCACACATGTACTAAGAAGCCTAAAATTGTTCATGCACATGTTTCCAACTAAAGTCAAACAAGGGGATACTCTACCTTCTCGTTTTAGCTCTCAAACTGTAAACAAATGTCCTTTTTAATCTGTGTAGTGTCTTATTTTGTTCACAGTTTTGTACTTAATTCTTTGTGATTTCCTGGTTTAAAATGGCCCCCAGAATGAAGTACTGTGTGGTGTTCCTAAGTTCAAGAAGGCTGTGAAGCATGTTAAGGAGAAAACGTGTGTTAGATAAACCTCTTTCGGGCGTGAGTTATAATGCTACTATTATGTTCAACATTAATGAATCAACAATATATAGTAAATAAGGTCTTTTTAAACAAAACCTCAAAGGAAGCAAGGTTATATATGTACAGACTAGGTGATGAAAATGTGACTAGAGGCTTACAGGTCCCTAACCTGTGTATTCCCCCTAAGAGTGACAACATTATACAACCTGACTATTGTGAATAATGAGAACTGGCTCTACCTTACTCAGTTTCTTTGGGTTTATTTAGTTGTTCTAACTTCCTAAGTTTGATGATTAGCTCATTAGTTTTTAGTCTTTCTTACCTTTTTTTGGGTACCAGGAATCGAAATCAGGGACTTGCGCTTGCCAGGCAGGTGCTACACTGCTGAGCTACATTCTTGGCCCTAGTCTTTCAACATTTAAGATAATATTTTTTCTCCTAAGTATTCTTAGTGGCCTTATTATTTAAATGAAGACTCCAAAACAAATCAATAACTGATACCCTATTATTAACAAGCATCTTTTAAAATGAAGCTTTGTTTTGCTACCTGTTCTTGTATTCTCTGTTCCAAGCAGCTCAGTAATCCAACTGCATCTCTGGTACCTAGAGCTGTCAGCTCAGTCTGAAAGGCAGCCAGTAAAATGCTGCGCTCCTTTAGGAAAACATGTTGAAAGGCAAGCAAAAGGTCACCTCGCCAGTCAGAGAGACTCTCAGGAGACTGAGAATCATCATAAACCTAGGAGAGTACAAATAGCAAAAGTCAGTTTTCAAATAAGGATGATTTAAAAACATCATAAAAACAGTCTATTTACCAAAATAAATTTAAAAAAAAATTATATATATATATATATATTTTTTTTTTGGTACCGGAGATCGAACTCGGGTCCTTGTGCTTGTGTAGGAGGCAGTGAAACCACTGAGCTAAATCCCTGGCCCCAAAATAAATATTTAAAGCCAAAAAGCATATGCAATTTCAAGTGTGAAAATATATATAGCAATTCATGTGAAAACATAAAAGATAATTTATGAAGTGTATTACTAAAGTGTATTAGAAATCACATAAAGCTATTTAGAAGTATAATATTCTTTGGGTACCTCAGCTTCGCTTTGCACTTGCATCTTGGTAATTAAATCCTTAAGAGATGAGATTGTACTAAGGTATGCCCTTCTCTCTTCTAGCCAGGATTCTGAAACTTGCTGAACAAAATGGTCCTCCCCCTCACCATAAGGTGACTCTGTGAGAGAAAGCACCTGCATGCCTTCATTATGGACAGCTCTCAGCAATCCCTAGAAAGCAAAAGCCAGAATTATGATTAACTTCTTCAAAGACTGAAAACTTATATGTACAAAAACCCATAAATTTTAGGCAAGATAGATTTATCAAGATAGACTGATTTAGAAAACCCACTGCAGAGAGGAAATTCCAGCCCACCTCTACTGAATACCTTCTTCTTGTGGAGGGGTAAGCCAGTCCCCAGAGGCTGCCTATGACTTTTCACTGCTCTTGTCTCTTCTGTTTAGCTAAGGTGCCTTTCCAAGATTTAATAATCAGCCACTGATGACCAAAATAAATGATGTGGGAAAAACTTCTATTCCTTTAGACTGTTTTAAAATTGTGGCAAAAACATCAGGAATAAAAATTATTTTTAAAGTATCTTTATAAACATAATTATGAAATATACTGTACTTTATTATCGGTGAAATATGGAAATAAAGTGAAATAGATTCCCAAGATCAAGCCATGCAATTTTCTCTTCAGAGAACATTTTACTATGTAACTTTAAATAAACTATGATGTTCAATATAAAATATTATCAACTAAGTTTATTAAAAAGTATTTATCTTTTAGTACCTTTATTTTCCTTGGAAATGAATCTGTTGACCCTTCAATTTCTTCTTCCCTGCCTTCTGAGCCTGTGTCAACTCCCTGACTTTGTGTAAGACAGATTCCATGACCCCAGTCTGATCCAGAATCTAAAATAAAGCAACCATCTATTATATAACAGACCCCAACCTCAACAAAAATAACACTTCTTAAATAAATACTATAATTATGGAGAAATGTATATTACTTACCACTAGAACATATTTCTTTAGTTTGGTAAGTATTAGAATGAACTGAAGATTCCTAATTAGAGAAAACAAAACAATTTTGTTTACTTTAATAAAAAATAGGGCCCAATGAATTGTTCTGTTGTTTCTAATGCTGTAAAAAAGAAAATAAATCAATTTAATCTGGCATACTTGACATAGTAAGTGAAACTATCCATTTTTAACAAGTGTATTATTTTTTTCCCTCATGGATAGTAACATAATAAAAAAGACAGTCATGAATTAAGGAATTATTACAGGTTCCAAATCCATACAGGGTTTTTATTATCTAACACTACATAATAGGAAGATTTAAGGGGCCAGGGATCTAGCTCAGTGGTTTCGCCACCTGCCTCGCAAGCGGAAGGACCCGAGTTCAATCCCCGGTACCAAAAAAAAAAAAAGGAAAGTAAAAAAAAGGAAGATTTAAAATTGTAATAGTTTCATGAAAAAGAGGTATTTCCCACATTTCTTTTAAAATTTCTCTTGAAAATATAAAAGCATAGAATTTTGAAAGAAAATTCATACAATGTTTAAAAAAAATCAAATACCTCTTTAGATCTCAGACTCTGTATCACTGCCTTCAAGGTCCCACACTCCTCTGTCAGTAACTGAACAGCAACATAATGTTCCCTCTTCAAAGTTTCAGTTTCTGAAATATGTCTGGATTCCATATCCAAAATTTCAGCAGCATGTAATTCTTGCATCTGCTCAATTTTTTCAGTAAACTGACTTATTATTTCAGTGACTTCTTCTGAGGAACATTCATTTTGTAAATCAATTTGAATTTCTGCATTTCTAACAAAAATCTGTGGCGTCTGATTGCTGCTATTGACCTTGAGAGTCCCCTCTGTTTGGGATGCAGAGCTTTCACCCACTTTAATAGGAAGTGCCTCCAATATGCAGATCTTTCTGTTTTCTTGTACCTCAGTCTTATCTCCTTTTACTAGGAAGTGAGATAATTTGTCTTCTGCCTCTGTGAGCTGATCCCTAACTTGGCTTAAATCTTTCTGAGGAGATGCCACATTTATTTCTTTTATCTAAAACACAATGAGTAGAACAGTAGAGAATTGAGTTAAAATTTTTGCAAATCAAATGTAGAACTTCAAAGTGGGAAAAGGAAGAGTACAATTCATGCTCATACATTCATTTGCCTCAGAATAATAGGAAAAACATTTCAGAAACACCCATGGTCTATATATACTTTCATATGTATGTATGGTGATAGGTTACTATTACTATAGAAAGAATATAATTTGCTACTTTTGGTTCTCAGAGGATTTATGGTTCTCTTTAATATCTGTCTTCTTCCTAACAAACTAGAGATGAAAGCATCCTTCTAAAAAAAGATTCTTAGGAAAACCAAGCAAGGAAGTACTGGTAAAGAAATTTATAACAATGAATTTTTCATTAAACCTATAAAAAGCTTAATATATTTTTTATGTAGCTTTTAAGTTGTGAATCTGGGTTTGTTTTCACAGAAGGAAAGGTAAGACAGCTAAACATAAAAGAATTAAGACTATGTTACTTATCTTACTGAAAGCTCTTCTTGAAGTTTCCCTACCTTTTCTTTGTAACTGGCAAGTTCTTTGTTGATAGTCACTGACTCAGCTCTAAAAGCCTTAAGTTCATCAAAAAGTCCACTTTCTCCACTGGTATGAATTACCTCAGTAGTAGTCTGAATAGTAGTATAAAACATAAAAAACATCATTTTAAAGAAATATAGCTAAGTTGAAGGCACTTATACATTCTAATGAAGCCTTTCTAAGAATGCCTGTCTACAGAAAAAGTGGATTCTAATGATCAGTGCTCTTTTCTACAAATGGAAACTTTTTGGGCCAGGGATTTAGCTCAGTGGTTCCGCAACCTGTCTTGCAAGTGAAGGTCCCAAGTTCAATTCCCCAGTACCAAAAAAAAGGAAACTTTTTGAGAACTGTCCTCTTACAACAGTAATAAAAAAATGACTTGTGAGAATAAAAAGTAAATCATGTCATTAGTGTATATCCTAAAAATTTACAAACTAATAAAAATACTCTTACATTCAAAAGTTTCATATTTGTACCATTTTCCTTAAAGGACATCAGACGTAACTAAGATATTCTTGGAAGACGGAAATGGAAAGTCACTAGTATTATATTTATTACAAAGAAATATATTTCTAATTAACTGAGAGGAAAAAGCCTGGTAAATGGGGTTATTATTCTTTGTTATATGACTAAAATAATTATAAAATCCTGATATAATCTTCTGGTGTTAAGACTGCACACTCAAAATTATAAATTCATACAATGAGAATTTATAAAAAAGTCCTTGTCATATTTGTCATGCAGTACAAAATAATTACAACTTCTTATCTTTATATAATAAAACTTACACAGGTCAAATACAAACTGATGAAGAAGGATGACATCTATTATCAGGCATGAAATGTGCAAAAGCTAAACTTGTCACACATTAATTCAGTAGAACACTAATAGATTTTGGTATTTTTCATTACTTAAAAGGGATGAGGGCTGGGGATTTAGCTCAGTGGTGCCATCATCACCTGCCTCACAAGCACAAGATCCTGAGTTCTATCCTCGGCACCAAAAAAAAGGGATTATATCACATGTACATATTAAAGGGAAATAAAGGGGGAAAACCCCACACAAAATCCTAGAGGACATTTAGTAAACTGAATTTTATATTCTTCCTACAGTTCTAATTAATGACTACGCTAATGGAATAAATTTTATGTTTGAAGGCATTAACTACAGCTTGGATCCACTCTTCTAGTGATAATAATATCATTACCTGGTGTTAAATTTGGCCTGTTTCTGTATCTTGAGTTTCTGCAATCAAACCTAGCATATTAAAAAACCTTAACCTAGGATTACAATAAACAGCCAAGTCTCAGGTGAACATGAGCAGCCTCTGTTTCAACCAATCACAAGCAATCAACTGATCAAATCACACCCAAACCAGGCCTACCTGTAACCAGTGAAGCCATTTACATATTTTATTTGGGAGTTCTGTCTATAAATACTCACTGGCCACTGTTGCAGAGTGAAACTTTCTGAACCTCTTCTGGGTCTGAGTGCTGTATAATTAATTCATGAATCACTCTTTGCTCAAATAAATTCTGTTAATTTTAGTTTGTCTAAAGTTTTTCTTTTAGGAACAGTATAATATTTTAATAAAATCCTAGTATGTACAATTTACTAGGTACAAACAGAACACCATATTTAATTTAGTAAATTAGGAATCAGTATGACAAACAGACCAAAGAGTCACAGGATATTTAGGTGAAAAAAATATCAAATACAAAACTAACCTTGAGAACTTCCAAATCTCCTTGAGGGCTTCTTTTTCCTTCTTTCCCTTTCTGTTTTTTCTTACTGTCCTCCAATTCTTTCTGTAGTTCTAGAATTTTCCTTTCTTTTTCCAAAGCATTTTTCTCTGCAATTTTTACTCGTTCTTTTTCTGAAATCAAACTACTGTGCATGGCAACTACCTGGCTTTCTAACTCTGATATTCTCAAGGTTAGTTTGGACACATCTGAATCCATCTTGTTTTCTGTTATTTGATCTGAATTCTGTATACTAGTCCTTTCAGGTTCTGATGAAACTGTTTGCTTATCCCGATAGAACTTCACACATTCCTGAACTGCCTCAAGCTGGGCCTGACTCACAAGAGCAGCAGCTACTTTCTCCTCAAGTATTTTCTGTAGGTTTACAATCTTCTTTTGAAGCATTTCTGTTTCAGATTGGCCTTGCTCTTGCATGTCCTTTATTTGTTTATAACGCTGGATAAGTTCTAAGTCCTTTGTACTAACAGAGCTCTCAAGCTGTAGCAGCTTTGTTTCCCAACTTTTGGAAACTCTGGTGCTTTCTTCAAAAGACTGGGGGTAAATCTGATTTTCTAGGGGACTGAAACCATCCTCACTAGGGACTACTTCCACTTCAGGTTTGTCCTTGCTGAGCTCATCCAGAGCCACAGTAACACTTTTCTCTGGTACATTCTGGATTTCCCCCTTATTTTCACATTCTCTCTTTAAGCTGCATAATTCTTGTGTTAGTTGATTCATTTTAAAATTGGTTTCCTTAAGTACATTTTTTGTGAAGGCCATTTCTTCATTAGTGGTTTCTACTTGCTGTTCCAAAGCCAATTTTTCAGCTATAACTTTCTCCAACTGATGTTTCAAACTGTCTGCTTCTTCTGGAAGGGAATTAGCATACAGTGAAGTTTTCTGTTCAATATTTGCCAATTCCTGTTGAAGTTTTTCAATCACTTCATTGAGCTGCTCTATTTCTTCTTCTCTATTTTTCTTCAGACATTCTTGATCACTCAGCAAACATTCTATTTGGGTTTCAAGATCCCTTATGAGTTCATTTTTTTTTTCAATAACCTATTAGTTAATGAAAAAAGGAAACATGGTAATATGAATTTATATCTTGGAAAATTTATTTTATTTTAGGGCAGGACCTTAAAGAGATGATTTTTATTTTATTTTGATTTTTGAGACAGGGTCTTGGTATGTAGTTCAGGCTGGCCTTGAATTTGTGGTGATTTTCCTGCTTCAGCCTCCCAAGTGCTAGGATTACAGCCATGTGCCACCATGCCTAGCTAAAGAGAAAATCTATAACAAAATCAATACACTGTTTTTCTCAAAATTTTTTTTTTTTTTTTGGTACCAGGGATCAAACTCAGGACCCTGAGCTTGCAAGGCAGGCAATGGCACCACTAAGCTAAATCCCCAGCCCACTATGTTACTTTCAATATAGATCAACACCACCCCTATCATATCAAACAAGGATATTACTAAGAATTTCCTTCTGGAAGCTCTGTTAAATATAAAGTAGTCTATGCTTTTAGGAGTTAATTTCCTATTAGGAAAAAACAGTCAATATCAGTACATTTTATTGAAAAGAATGAAACGCCCCTGCTCCAGTATTGGAGATTAAACTTAGTTAGGGCTTTTGCATTGAGCTACATCCCCATTCTATTTTTTGGTTTTTTTTGAGACAGGGTCTTGCTAATTCATCTTAATTAAAATTAATGAGTAAAAGAGATACAAGATTTGTTTTTAAAAATGCAATGGGAAAGTAAAAATTGTCACCATTTTGCCTTTAAAATTGCAGCTCATATTAGTTTCAGATAATAACCAATTTTAAATGAGTATACCTTGTTATCTGTTGTAAGTTTAAGTTGCTGCTGAAGTTTTGTAATTTGCTCATTTAATTGAACAATCTCCACCTCTTTTTCCTGTATTATTTGAGCAAGTTTTCCAAATAACACATGTTGGTCCTGAGTAGAGATAGCATCAGATTCCTTTATGGCAAGTCCCAGTTTCTCCATTTCATCCTAAGGACAATAAACAAAAAAGTGAATAAACAAATTTCAATAAAATAACAAGACAATGAAACTATACTAATATATATTTACACTGTCATTTGCAGAACATTTTTCGAGTCGTAAAAAATATAATACCTATCATATACAAACAAAAAAATTAGTACCCATAATGTATAAATAAAAATAATTATACAGTGCATAAGTCTTCAAATATTTTGATAAAAAAATTTAAAACAATTCAAGATGAACTTAAATGTTTAGGCTGAGCAGAAAATAAGTTCCATGAAAATCCATTTGTCTGCTAATGTTCCTCTGGTAAGCACTGTTTAGCAGGTGAATTTAGTAAATGTTTATTAAGGTTATATAGGAGCAAAACTATGAATTATATACAGCCAAAAGTTTTTCTAAATTAATTACCTTAAATAATTTGTTCTCTTGTTCAAGTTCTTGTAGGCGGGTAGTAGATTCCTTTTTCTGTATTTCTAATTGCATATGTAATTGCTGAACTTCTTCATTCTTATTTTCCAGTTCTTCTCTAAACTGCTCCAATTGTTCTTCTAAGTTTGTGATCTTTAATGCCAAAATTATCAAGAGAAAAAAATGTTTATATAAATGTTTTATTTGTCAAGATAGAATGAAGAGTGCTATATTACGTTTACAAAGTATGTATGCTTAGGGCTGGGGATTTAGCTCAGTGGTGCCGGGGCTTGCCTTGTAAGCGCAAGCTCCTGAATTCGATCCCCAGTACCAAAAAAAACCAAAAAACCAAAGTATGTATGCTTAAAACATGTAAATCATGGGAATATAGGAGAGTGGTTTTCTAAGCCAGCTGTACGTATACAGTTCTAGACATGCTCACATTGCATATTCTTAAAGCTATCTTGCCCAAAGCAGAGAAGAGACCTGAAAGAAGGTCACAAGGAGCCTTTTTCTAAGATACTGCATTGACACAGAAGAGTGAAGGCAGGAAGAAGTCCACATGCTACACCTTAAATTTATGTTAAGTTTAGTTGCTATCAAAAAAACTTAAAAAAAAAAATTCATAGTTATTTTAGTAAAACTAGCTCAATTTAGTCCACAAACACCTATTTAGCCAACTGAAAGGGTTGGCTGCTTCGTGGTTTGCTTAAGGAGAATAATGTAGAGGTAAATACTAAGATCAAGAGGCCCTCTGGTCTGAATTATAGAAGCCCTAGAACAGTAGTGGCAAACCTATGGCATGTGTGCCACAGCGGGCTCTCTGTATCACTGAAAGCTCTAAAAGGTTCACCATCACCACCCTAGAGTAAGTTAATACAATTTTAGGAGAAAAGTAGCTCCTATAGATAGGACAATAGAAATTTAGTTAATTTCTGAAGATGGATGATCAGTAATAATGGTAAAGCACCATCTTTGGTAGTTATATAGAAACTGAACCTAATGATAAATATTAAGAGCTAGTTATTACATTTTAAAAAAAGGTTTTAGTGGGCCGGGGATTTAGCTCAGTGGTTTCGCCTCCTGCTGCGCAAGCGCAAGGACCTGAGTTCGATCCCCGGTACCAAAAACAAAAGGTTTTACCAAGGACAGTAACATTTAAACTCACTGCTTTGTAGCTACCTAATCAATGGATTTCCAAATTTGCTTATACCTGAAGATCAAAACTGCTGCATTAAAAGCAACCTAAGATGCAGGAGCAGTGGTCAGTGGCAGCTGGCTCAATGTAGCTTATAAATCCTTTAGTGCCTCAGAAGCTGAAAAGGAGCATATGCCCCTTACATACTGACACATCACATAATTAGAATTGTATCTTAGTACTGGCAAGGCAAGACCTTAAAACTCATTTCTTAATATTTCTTAAACAGAAACACTATCATTACTACTAGCCATCATTTACAGACAAATTTATTTCTAAGCACTGTACAAAGTAGTTTATGTGTAATATTTTAAAAAAATCCTGTAATAACCTTCACTAGGAGACCTGTTCTATGATTATTTCCATTTTAGAGATGAGAAAGGGAGTCACAAAGAGGAGTAATGGAACCTCAGGGTACAGGTAGTGTGTGGTGAAGCTGCTTTTTGAACCTGGAAAGTTTTTCTGGAGCCTTCCATTCTAAACTATTATTTATCCTGATCTAGTAACTATTGTCTGAAACATTTAATGATTTTTCTGTAACACTGGTATTAATAAACTTTAGACAAACACATTTAGTGGTTGTACATATATTTAATTATCAGGTTAGTTTGCTGAAAACTGTGGTAATTATATCTTCTTTTTTTGGGGGGGGTACCAGGGATCGAACTCTGGACCTTGCGCTTTCGAGGCAGGTGGCAGCACCACTGAGCTAAATCCCCAGCAATTACATCTTCTTTAAAGTTATCTAACAGCATTTATATCTATTTCTATCTTCTACAATTACTTTTGATGATAAGGCATTATAAAATCAACACATATGTGGTTAATTTCAAAACTGCTACACTACATTTCATGATGTTTAATATTTTATTTTGATACATTACTTAGTAGTCAAATTCTTAGCTCTGTGATCTAAAGCCTTGCCACACAAAGTGTCATCTCTGGATAGCAGAACTCACATCATGTAATAGCCTGTGCAGAATTGCATGCTGTTGAAGACCAGCACATTCATAAGGTCTCCAAGTGATTCATATGTACACTAAAGTGGTCTACAGTACTAACATTTTAAAATAGTTGAATCTGAGATATCATCTTAGAAATTTTAACCCCCAAAATGATACCATGAAGTACTTTTTTTATTCAACCAGACTCTAGTTTCAATCCTAGCCTGTTTTAGTACTGAGCCTGTAGCAACCCTCAAGAAGAACATTATAAATGTTTAAATGTGTTTTAATGTTGTTTATCTATTATGTTTAGACTATTCAGATTAATTTGCACCTGTTTGTGTTTTGTTAAATGTTTTATCTCTTTCAAATGTATGTATGTCTCAATTAGCTGACTGCTTGGAATCTGGTACTAGTTTTACAGCTGGACAGAAATGTGTCACTGCAATAAGACTTCAATGAATGTCTAAAAATGAGACAAGACCTTGCTATGCTGCCTAAGCTGACCTTGAACTCCTGGGCTCAAGCATTCCTCCTGCCTCAGCCTCCAGAACACCCGGGACTACAGGTATGCATCACGATGCCCACACGGATTTTCTTTTTTGGGGGAAGGGATGGAGCACAGAAACACAGAACTTTATATAGTTACTTTATTATTATCACCGTTTTGATGATGGTGAATCAAACTCACAGCCTTGTTACACGGTAGGCAAGTGTTCCACTACTGAGCTAGACCCACCCCTGTTTACTTTATTATCCACCTTTTGTTTTAAGAACAAAAGCTGGGGGTGGTGGTACACTCTTGTACTTGGGCTACCCTGACAAATGCTATGTCAAACCCAGTAACAGAGATGAGCCTGTAAACAGGCTTTTCCTTACTAGATGAGTTTCTCTACCTCAGCACTATTGGGCTATTGTGGACAGTTCTTTGTTAGAGGCTTGCTCTGTATATTGGGGGATGTTTAGCAGTATCCTTGTCCTCTACTAGATGTCTATAGCATCTTTTTCACTGGCCCACCCCCTATCGTATGGCAACCATTGTTTTCAATGGCACCAGACAATGGCACACATCAAAATCCTGTCTCAAAAAAAAAAAAAAAACCACATCCAAATAAACAAACAAAAAAACCTCAAACCCTTCAAAAAATATGCTTTATATATTGTAAAAATGGTATTATAAATCTCTTAGAGCAATAGTTTTGAAAACAACACCAACAATAGAAACCCACGGCAGAGCAGCATTAACTCAAAGAGAAGTACTACCTTTTTGGTCTAACATTCCTGTATCTCCACTCTCCCCTTTATTCAACCCTTATCTGCTAAATTGGCCTTTTTTTCTCTTTACATTTCTTCTTCTTCAAGGTCTGCATACTCTGTATCCTCTCTACCTCGAACACTTTTCCTTACATCAACTCATTTGTTCATAGGTCTATTACTGTCAAAGGCAATATACGCAAGGAACTGAGAAACAGTCTGAACATAGGTTTTAGGTCACAAACTTCATTCTATTCAAATGATATTTTCAAGGTAACTGATTTAACTGATTATTAAAACCATACTTTGCTATTTGAAAATAACTGCTTACCTCTTTTTCCTTTCTATCTATAGCATCTCGTTCAGCCTGCAACTGTACTTCTAGAGACAATTCTGCTTTGTCTTCTACAGCTCCAAGTTGTCTTCTGTCCTCCACCTTTAAATACATAAGAATTTTCTCAAAAATTTAGACATTAAGTCCTGATTATCCATTGTGTTTGCATGTGCATGTGTGTGGGGGATTTGAACAAGTAGTAATTCTGCATCTTTAGTTAGAAGGAGAAAACCTACATTTGTGAATAATCAAAAAGTTATAGATACTCAAACTTGAGTGCATTTTTCCATAAATATGAACAGGACCTTTTTTTTTGGTACTGGGGATCGAATTTGGGACCCTGCGCTTGCAAGGCAGGCGTTGGCACCACTGAGCTAAATCCCCAGCCCCTGAACAGGACCTTTTGACACTTAAAACTCAGATGAAACAAAGGCGATCTCCCATGTGCACCACCCAGCCATGCCCTAAGCGTCCTTCTTCTGCTAGCACTTCCTTTATTCAGTTTTTCTTTCTGCAGAATAATAAGGATGAATTTCATTACTTTTTAATTTGGGCAAAGCATCAGCCTAAACTGGTGTCCATTTTCATTTGGCTATCACTGATGGTTAAAAGGTAAGTAATTAATTCTTCTGGTAAAATTTAAAAAATGATTATGAGGTCAACAAAGCCATAAAGACATATATAATAACATATCAATACAATTTTTAATTTTAAAGACCTGATGTTTGTATAATTAAGAGTAATCTTCATTAAAACACTTGATAAAGTTAACTCAAATAAATGTCATACCTTTTGAAAAGTATCGGCACTAACGAGTAAAGCTTGCTCCAGTTCTCTTACTCTGAACTCCAGTTTCTCAATTTCTTCATTCCGCTCTTGTACATCTCTCTGAAGCTGTTCTTTAGACAGCAAAAGCTCACTGCACCTGTCTGTTTTTTCTTTCAGATTATTTGTTAACTGTTCAACCTGAAAATACAGTAAACAAAGTGTAATTTACATTTCCTAGTAAGTTTATAACTATAAAACATATCTATATGCATTTCAAAAAGTACTTTAAAGAGAACTTTTAAATGCTACACTAATTTCATTTTTTTGAGGTGGTGGACGGGGATTGAACTCAGGACCTTGCACTTGGCGAGGTAGGCGTGGTACCACTGAGCTAAATCCCCTGCCCACTAATTTCATTTTTTGATAAGAATAGAAACCACTGTCTCCAACCAAGGTGACATTTTTCTAAGTTGATAAAACTAGGCAGCACTAGTAAAAAAGTAATTATTTTTTTCACTTTTCATTTCACATTATTTTATTTATTTCACATTATTTTTTTCATTTTTTTAATTTTGAAGAAATGTTTCTTCAAATGTCATTTTTCTTAAGACTAAGACTTTCTTCATCTAGGAAGAGGGGAAAAATACATTTTGAATAATGCTGAATTAGCTAATGGCAAAGCCACACTAAGATCTAGTGACAAATCTCCATAGTACTTACTGACTTACTCTTGTGTAAAGTAAGATAACCTTAAAAAAAAAAAACTTTTAAAGATTTTTTTCTTTTTTTTGGTACCAGGAATCAAACTTGGGACCTTGCGCTTGAGAGGCAGGCAATGGAACCACTGAGCTAAATCCTCGGCTAAAGATTTCATTTTGAGGACAGCTATTTGCAAAGTTTTTTTCAATCTACATATTTCACCAGGGCAGAATGAAGATGCGGATAGGTGGTGAGAAGATCTGGGCACTCTGTAAGTTTTCCCTAAGTGTTTTCAAAGTCTTGGCTTCCGTACCCCAAATCTAATGATGAAGTGACCCAAGACTTAAACTCTAAGATTGATAAGCAGAACCTTTCATGTCAATGGCTATGTGTGTGGACAGAAACTACAAGAAGATATAATAAGACAGTTTTTGAAATTAGTTCTGATCAAATGAGGAAATAAAGTTAATAAAAAAGGCATTTTATAGTAAGAAATAAAGTAACTATCTTATTTTGATGAGATACTTCCAGAAAATTATCCAACAATGACAGTTATTCTTCAGAATGTTAAAAATATGCAAGCTTAACAATAATTACAGGTTCAAGGATGACAGTAATAAAGTTACTGAGGAGAAACTTTAGGTTGATCCAGATGTGGAAAACAGACACAATATGAGATGGAAAATATTAGTCTCATTTTAGAAATGAATAAAGAGATTGGAGAGGTTCTGTGACTTGATCATTGTCACATACCTAGTAAATAGCAGAAGCATGATCCACAGCCCTGTCCACCCTATTGGCATTTTCTGTGACATTTTGTGACAGTTTTCTGTTACTTGTTACCGCCACCCATTCGTCCTTGCCATAACCTGGTCACCTGAGCTTTCCCATCTTCCCCTTCCTGGCTTCTTATCCACCTGAATGACTAATTTTAGCACTTCCTCAAAAGTTAGGTCTTCAATAAAAATATAACTCATCAGCATTTCTGATCAGTATTTCTTTAAGCTTTGTTTTGAACTTCAGATCTTTGCTATAACAACATTCTTTCAGAATGCTATACAGAAATATTATTTTCAAAACAATCATTTGAGGGTTGTCATAAAAATGTTGTATTAAGAGACCGATAAAGAGATGTGTAACTCGGGAAAGGATGCTTCTACTGTACTGTCAACTCCTACTGATAAATATGGGATTCTGCAAGAACATTGTTAAAACTAGTTGGTATGGGACATTAATTTATGCATATAACAGTAAGATCAAGAAATTAAATTTTTGGTACTTCAATATTGAATTAAAATTTACATACTAAGTTTGAAAACTTAAAATGTAAATGATAGTTATATATTCGTTGATATGTCCATAATATTTATCAAAAAATATATGTAATAATCAAACTATTTGAGTTTACAAGATGCTTATTGAGCAAACTGCCATCTGTGACTCATAATCAATTCTTCTACATTTTTAACTCAAAGAGAATTATATAACATTAGGAAATTTTAATTTTCCAAATGTATTCAGAAAAAATTAATCACATTTATCTTCCAGATGAAAAATACCGTTGCATAATTCATTGGCCACAAATGAACTCCCTACTTGTAAGCGAGTAGTCAACAACTGCATGACCATCTGTAGAGGTGGCACTGTCCATTCATAACCACTCTCTCCTCATGTGACGAGTGTGAAGAAGAAGGGGCAAAGGAGTCACTTTTCACTGTTTCACTGACTCTTGGTGTTTTCATTGTATGTTAAATGCCTGACTTCATTTTTACAACCAAAATAAAAACAGTAATTTTGGAAGGTAATTGTATGTTCCTGGTAGCAGATATTAGCAACTTCCAACAAGATCTCTAGGGATAATTCACAGTGCTGAACAATGCTTTAGAAAAACATTTATTTGCCTGCTGATTAGAACATCAAAGGATCACTGTGAATTATGTTAATATAACAGTTTAAAGATCTAAGTATGGATGTAGTCTCAGCACTCTGTGAATGATTTTATCCTAGTCCATCATTGGCAATAATTGTACATGTTGCTGTGGGAACCTGCAATTCTTCTGCTGCAAACTTTAAGACTGTTGTGAAAGTTGTACTTTCAGGAATACTGAATACTTTGTATGGCGGCTATAGGTGCGACGCCAGTGTGCTCTTTTTTCTTTTTTTAAAAAATTCTTTTATTGGTACATTTTAGGTATACAACACATTTATATTTCTTACTGGGAACTTGTACCTTTATATGATGCATCTTGGTTCTTATTTTTTCCCCATTCCTAGGCCTCCCTTCACCCCCTCCACCCTTCCTGATTTACAAAGACTTTGTTTCCAAATCTCATAATTTTTCCTTTCCCTTCTTTCCTTTCCCCTGCCCCTGCCCCTCCCACTTCCCCTACCCCTTTGAAACTTTTCTTCCTATTTTGCATTATCAATTATTCATTCTAATCATTGGTACATTTTAGGTATACAATAT